GCCTTGGTGAACATAAAGTCTTCTTTCAAAGACATTAAAAATCTTTCTGAACCCAGACTTTAGGACTTAAGTGTGTAATATTCAATGATCAATGCATTTCAATGATTTCCTCTGACCTTTCCATCAATTCTTGATTACTTGCTTGAATCATTTTATTAGAAATTGCTGAGGCAGACTTCCAGTTGTATGTCAAGAAAAAAAATCTTAAAAAAAATAGATTTCAACAAGGACACTTACTAGTGTACAAATGTCTCCAATAAGACCCTCAGCAGACAGACTGATGTTATCACGATAGCTCGAGGGCAAGTTTTACTCCAGCTATACTATATCTAGCTGATGAAATATTACAGGGCAGAGCAAAACTAGAAAAATATGTGGCTTTTCTGTGACTTTTACTTCGGAATCTGTTTTAAAATTCCCTTACACTGCCATGACCATCAGGACCCTCATTCTTGTGCCAAAGACCAAAACAAACATCTCATTTCTGTCTCTCCTGCTCTCTTCTGTGCTGGATGGTGGAACTCTGTCCCAAAAGGAGAGAAGTAATGACAATACTCATACTGACAGGAAATTAGCAGACAGAGTCTGTCTCAAAGGGCTAAATTTAAGGTGCTTGTTACTTAATCCCCATAATGCCTCACCAGGCATGAGCCGCCACATCCTCCTCCTCTAAGAGGAGAATCCATCCTGTGTTATCATTTATTTCCTCTCCCGCTACAGGTAATAACAGTTACAGGCCCTCTCTTCACGTCTGTGTGCCCATGTGCGAATTGTTGGGTAGCCTAAATCGGCACAAGAGACCCCTGTTGTACATCATGGAAAGCCTGCTGGGGATGTAATACTCTGAAACTGTGCTCTCTGCTGAGCTATGGATTATGGGAAGGATTCAAAGCCAGCATCTTTTGCTTCTGTTTTCCTGTTTCCTAGGGAACGCTCCGTAGTCTCTTTCATCACGGTGATAGAACATTCAGATGGCTGTGGATCTGACAATACCGCACCCGGCTGGAAGTGGTGGAGGAGCGGATCAATAAAAGGAATTGTGGGTATCTGGCCAAAGGTTCTTTGTAATCCTACTTGGTGAGTCTCCAAATGTTCAAAAGACATATACAATGTTATTATGAATATATAAAACCCATAGTACCATTTACTTAACACAAAACCACATTAATGTGGACAATTTAGGCTTGCCACATACAGAAATTTTATACTGGTTTAAATGGGGGGGGGCATTATTAATGAAGTGACTTGACAACAACAGTTCTTCAAAATCCTAACCAATAGAGAATATGCTTAAATGTACAGTTGCTAAAAAAAAAGCATCCTACAGAGCACTTGGGAAGCTGTTCTTGTGATCCTTGGTTTCCTTTGATTTGTTTATACACAAGAAACTCATTACCACGTGCAAGTGGTTGCCATGGCAATGAACTATATGATACTTATGCCTGAAAATATTCTGCAACATTGCATATTATATTTTTTCTATGTTGTTTTAGATAACCCGCTGCATTTTGGTTGAACTTATCCTTAAAGTTTGTACATGAATGATGATATGTAATTCATTTTAGTTCAAATAAATAAATAACACACAACGTTTAGAATCAAAATGCCCTACATTTAGAGATGGGCGTATCGATACTGATGTGAGTATTGAAAGTATCAATACTCAAAAAATATCGATACTAAAGTGTTTTTTTTTTTTTTACCTGTGATTTTGTTCATTTAACAAGAAATATAATACATTGATACAACATGCACTGAATTGGAAGAATAACCATTTCCCTGTTAATTTGAACACACACAAATGCTGCAAGACATAATCAATCAATCAATCAATTAATCACAGAGAGCATTCGCTCACTGCTGACATCGCATTCAAACAGGGCTGCGTTTCCCAAAAGTATCATAAGAAACCATTGATGCTTTTGGGAAATGCAGTCTTATCAGAGTACAGAAAAACAATTTCACAATAAACTAATTGAATTTGTAGCCTATATTTTGTTCAGTTACATTTATTTAAATTGAATGTTAAAGTTCATATTGATCATTTTCTATTCTGTAACTAATGTTTTATTATAAATCATACACTGTCAGAATAAAAAGGTTGCATTTTATGGGTGCAACTGGCAGTCCCTTATGAAAATGAATCCTGGTTTTACTATTCAGTGAACGTAGTATTTGTAGATTTCCATGCTTACCACTACAGTAAACATTTTAATCACATGTAAATAAAAATATAATCTAATAAGCTGCAATTAAGGTGTATTGAATGTTAAATGCCTTTCAAATATACTGTTAAATGGGTATCATTACCCATTTTACTCTTAATAATTTAATAAATGTAATAATTTAAAAGTTAAGTTTAGGGGTATCGATATCGGCAATACTGGCCTTTGAAAGTATTGTTATCGTATCGAAAACAAAAGTTGTATCGCCCATCCCTACCTACATTATTGGCCACGTACACACTGTAAATTTTCAGGAGTGACAACCACATTTAAATACAGTGAATGTATGAATCCCCAAATTATAATTTTTTTGTGTGTATGGAACAGAACTCACTCTCGAAATTGTGATGTCAACAGTAACCATAGCAGCATTCTGGTGTCTTGTGTTTGGTGTCTGGTATGAAGAGCTGATCACTCCTCCTGAAAGGGCTGGTCCTGTTGGTGTAAACCCACAGGGCACGAACAGGACATAAAGCATTTAGCCTCTTTTCCTCCGCAGAGGAGAATGGAGAAGGGTGAAAAGCGGAAAGATCAAGCACCTCACAAGTGAAAGCTGGGAAGCATTTTGGCATAAAGGCTGGGTTATTTTTCTTCACTAAGAGAGAATGTAGTGCACGAGGGATGAACAGAGAGTACGTGCAAATTCCTACCATCAATAAGGTTTTGCAAAAAACCCAAAATGCCAGCGACTGAGCACTGATATGACATCAGCTGGGGCCCCTCGCACCACTCCTCAAACACATGCCACTTGCAATCATAAAGGGAGCGTGTAGAAGAGGCTCTAGCATTCTGAATAGTTAGCAACAACACGTAGGGAGAGCCTCAATGTGTTTAAGTTTGCCCTCTCATGGACCAGGCCCAGAGGGCCATCCTTTCTGGGTGAGAATGGTAGATTTCCCCATACGCTTGGGACAGGAGGTCCATGCGTAATGGGAGGGGCCACTGCTGGGCATACAGAAGAGGGATTATCTCTGCCAGCCATGGAGATTTGGGCCATCTAGGTGCTATCAAAATCAGAGTTAGGCTCTGTTCTTTCACCCTGACCAGAGTAGGAGTTATTAGGCAGAGCGGAGGAAATACATAGAGCAGCACATTGGGCCATGGGTGGGCCAGTGCGTCCACGCCAAGGGGGCATCCTTGTCTCATAACGAGAAGACTGTGACAGAGCGGCAGAGATCACGTAAAGAGCTGAGATGAAGAGATAAAACCCACTTCATGAACCCACTTTTGCATCACTTTCTCTCTTGAATCGGCTATAATCAGCCAATCGTCAATATATGTCAGGATCCTGAGACCCGCTATTCTCGGCGGGGCCAGGCCCGCCTCCGCGCACAGGCAGAAAGTCTGTGGGCTGAGAGCCAGCCCAAAGGGAAGGACTGTGAATTCATAGCATATGCCTTGATAGGCGAAATGAAGGAATTTCCTGTGCGAAGGATAAATGCTAATGTGGAAGAAAGGATCTTTGAGATTGATCGATGTGAACCAATCATTCTGATTTACTGAATGTAAGAGAGCCTGATGGGCATTACGGAGAACGAGGTTGATCTCCTTCCAGAGATCGGGTGATGGCGACCCTTTCTCCAGTTGCTGTCCCATGTCGACCAGGAGTTCGGCCTGGTAAGCGGATAGCAGGGAGGAGACTTGAGGGCTCTTACCGCCAAAGCCGAGGCTTTATAAGAGGCCTGATGAATGGACGCAGAGAAACGGTCCATCTTGCCGGGTAGAACAGGCTTGGGTGGGGCGAACAGCCTGCCTTGAGAGGGGTTAAGATGTCTGGCGATAGAGGGCTCGATGGTGTCACCCATACCGAGATTCGCCATGTCCTTAACCTCAAGACCGGCATGGCCAAGTTTGAGATTGAGTGGATCTCCCCAGTAGTCCTTCATATGTTTAGCAAATGCCGGGAGGACGGGAAGAAGCTGTTTTCTAGGGCCTCAAAGGGGGACGGGTCGCATTGATTGGCCCAGCTCAGAGAGGCTGCACCGCGGGAGGCCCCTGGGAGCATGCCGGTGTCCCCTTTTTCCCCATCTGAGTCAGAGAATTCCAAGTCAATGCTCTGAGTAGCGGCCACCTTGAGCCTCCGACGCAGGAGCCTCGTAGGGAGCAACAAGCAATGGCTACAGTTTTCCAGGAAATCAATGGCTTCTTGAGCGCCTTGAAGACCCATGCAAACCACACAGAAAGGATGGGGATCCCTAGCGGTGATGAGGATGCCGGGTAGGCTCGCAACTGGTTGTCCACGGGGGTAGCCGGGTTCAATTTCGAAAGAGCCATGAGTAGCGGACAGCAGATGGATTGAGGAAAAGGCAAGGTAAGAGGCGGGTAGCCTAGTAACAAGTGCGAGCATGGGTGGCTTGCAGATAAAACAGCTAACATGGTAAAAAATGACAAACACGTCTGGTGGAGGCTGATCCAAAGATGTGTCCTCCTCTAGACAATAGTGAAAGTCAACCATAGCTGTGAATAAATTTCCAGAGGTCGCAAGAAGCGAATGTCAACTGAGGAAAGTCATTTTAACGAGATAATAGAGTAGGCATATGCAGGTAGCGAAATTTTGGTATGTTGTTTATTTCCAAGATAACACTTTTGAATTTATTATAAATTTATTGTTTGTTATTTTTTATAGCAAGATTTGGCAACACTGAGTCAAGACGTACCTCCTTTGCTGTGATTTCTTGCACCACAACTCTGAAACACATTTAAATACATCATTAACAACTAATTGTTCAGTTCGGTTCTGTACACACAGCGTAGAATTTCTGCAAATGTGGCTGTCAATACCTGCATTTTTCAGGAGTCAATTCGGTTGTAGAATGTGGTCGTCACTCCCATAAATTACTGTACTGTGTGTGTACAAAAAGTACTAAAAGGTGAACTGACAACCGAATTTAGCTTCAGCATGTACGTGGCCATTGTGTAGTGAAACTTGCCCCATAGCACCACCTAGTGTCCAACCAGCTGTAATACCAGCGTATCTGCTTTGAACGCACAATTGTTCGGGTGTGAAAATGATGATTTTGTGGCATGTCTACTGGATATAAGAAAATGGCTCCAAATCGTAGAGTAATTTATTGTCCTGACATCAGAACATTATCCAAATCCAGCATGATTATTTTAGTAGCTTGGTAACAACACAACTGGGACCAGGTTAACATTTCAAGTTTCATTTTCTCTTTTGGAATCAGAACATGAAGGTAAACAGAATCGTTTTTCTTTTTTTTGTACAAGTCTTTTCTGGTTTGTTGCTTACAGTGACACTGACATCAGCACATAAAAATTATATAGATCTATATTTATATTCATATTTATATATTTATCATTCTCTATTAACATCTCAGTGTAGCAGTTCATCATCTCTGGTCAAGTCAAACAGAAGAAGCCACCTGTCAGAAACAAAGCCTCTCATAGCAAACACTGATCAACGTACAGCAAACACTCAACTAACATTGAGAGACGGTTTTTTTTGTACATCTTTGGAGGGAATTAAGCTTGCAAAGTTAAGTTTTGCCCTCCTGGTAGTATTCCAGTGTTTTCTAGATGTCGCTTAATTCCAGTAAAACACACTAAAAACACACTAAAAAACGGAAAAAAAAAACCGCAGATACAAATCGAAGCAGTAACTGAAAAACTCAAAAATGTCCCCAGTGCTGATTGAAGAGATTTTAAAATTTGGCACAGTCAGTTAGCACAGAAAACTGAGATCAAGGTCTAAAACAGACAGTTCTCCTGCAAATATGGATGATAAATAGCCGCATTTATTTTTATTCCACACTGAGTCACCAAGAAAGAAAAAAGTGAAATTGAAAAAAGAATCTGTCAAAAATCTACATCTATTTTTGTAGGCAGTGAGAAAGCACTTCATCGACGAGGAGAGTGGAATGATGCTCTGGTCTTCATCTGCTTTTGTTTTAGTTTCCACAGACATATTCACATTTTCAGAATGAACAATACTGGCATTTACATCCTTGCTCTTCGCACGTAATTTTGGGGAATGGACACTGAAGGTTAACACATCTCTCCGAGGATGTTTATTTTTTTGTCTTTTTCTTGTACTGTAAAACAAATACCCAAAGCCATGGGAAGAACTGAGTGGTCTGTGTAATTTACACAATGCACTTGTGTAATGCATTTCTTTAATGTACTCCAAATACTTTACATCAAATAAAAAAAAATAGAGGGGAAAAATGTGTAAAGAAAAAGCTTTTGATCCACCGTGACTTCAAATGAATGAAAAGAAAGTTTTGAAAATGGTGAAAAGCTGTTCCTGTAGCTAATTTTACAAACGTAATTTTCTTGTGCTTACATACCTCACCTTCCTCTGCTATATATTTTTTTTTTTTGCCACTACACTTTTCAAATACCTTTCAATACATAACCCACTTTCTACTCCAGAGGTTAAGCTTTCGCTTCTCTTTAAAGCATGTGCTCTCTCTCATCTCACACGCATTCTTTCTCTCTCTGTCAAGGCCTTCTTTTCTCTCTCGCTTTCTTTTTTTTTTTATTCGCCATGGAACCAGCTTAGACTAACAAAACTCTCTGAAAAAGGTTTTGTGATATGCATGCACATGCAGTTTCCTGGCCTCTATGTGCTCAAAGTCCTAAACCCAAGAGTCGGGGGACGCGGGGTAGTGACTCGTTTCGTAGTTGAGTTCGCTATAGGGCCGTGCGGCAGAGTAGAAGTCCACATAATTCCCGGTGGACTTGAGTCCCAGGTGCATATTCAGATCGGTGGCGGGAGGGGGACGATGAACCTGATCCTCAAAAAATGGCTCCTCAAAGTTCCTAGTGGAGTTTTGATAGATGGGGTATGCCTCGTAGTCCTTGCGCGGGGGCTCCTGTGGTGCGGGCGGCACTGGGACCTGAGGTGAAAGAAGGATTTGTGAGTGAAGTTGATTAACAGAACCGTATAGAGTCTCTTATCTCAAATTTGGGAGGAAAAGGTAGCTGTTGTGCTTCCAAACAGTGATTTGGAGCGGATGTGCTTTTATATTGTACAAGGCTCAACAAAGGATGGCCCAGTGCTATATCATACATTTTTTGCTAATGTACATACATTTTATAAACTTTTTAAACTCAGCTAGGTAAAATTATCTTTCGAGTTTTTGTTGAAATTACAAGAATGACTTAGGCTTGGTAACATCAGTAAAAATTTGTTGAAAATGACAAATCAATCAGTAATGTTTGGCCATGTGTCTTTATGAATTTACTGCTTTTTGGAGTTTTTAAAATACTTTAATACTCTATAATTTCCAGCTGTTATAGCAAAACGTCTTTGCAAGAAAACCTAAAGGTGTTATGAAATGGAGAAACAAAATATTTCAAGTCGTGATGCAGTTCTCCTCGATACACCCTTTAATATGCATCATCGTCGTACGTAATCGGAGGAGAAGTGTTCTGAACAACTCATGTCTGTCCATCAATCACAAAAGCGATACTGCTGTTGGATAGAGATGTCGACTAAGACTCAATCTCAGACGTTGTTTTGTTAGTGGATGTAATGAAAACTGCACCTTCAAAAACCTTGCATCGCCACCTAAAGATCTGAGCATTAGAAATGCATTACTTCAGTTTATGACATGCCTGAGAGACTGAGAGATAAAGTTTTTGTTTGTTCTTCACATTTCACAATGGACTGTTTTGTGAATTATTCTAAATATGCTGCTGGTGTTGTGCTGAATTTTGACCTGATTATTTTTTATTATGGATGTGGTGCAGTGAAGTTAGCCAATCGCAGCAGTGGGCATTTACTTCTGTTTCTGCAAGAGGTAACGCCCCTTAAAATTGAGTGTTTTTCACAGAGTGAAAATGAGGATGGAAAATGATCATTTTTACAAATATTGGATTTTTTTTTGGTGCAAAAACTTTGCAAACTTCATTAACTAACCTCAAGAAACATAATACAAAATTCTGAAACTGCATTTCATGACCCATTTAATACTTTATGAAAACAAAAACGGAATCTTTTTCATATGCAGACATACAAATGAGATAATATAATAACATTCTGCCTAACATCTCCTTTTGTGCTCCATGGAAGCAAGCCATGCAAGTTTGGAACAACAGGAGGTGAGTAAATGATCACAAACTTAATTTTTGAGTGATCTAACCCTTTAAATTCACATTATTCTGTTCATTCAGAGCTGCTTTCGATTCTGATTTGAAGCAGAAAATGAGATGTTACTAACTGAAAAAGATTCAGAGCTGAATGCTCTCCAGCTACAGAAAGGAAAGATCCATGTGGAAGCCAGGCTTATCAGTACCCAGCCTCATCGCAGCTGCTCGTCTGGAAGAGCATTTCTGTCGACTGACTCAACATACGGTGTGGTGCAGAAGTGTGCCAGGGACATCTGGCAAACTTAATCCATATGAAATCTGAAAATTTACCATGATGAACCTTGTCAAGTAGAAGTAATATATCTTCTATATGGCCAAAGTGCCAAAAAAAAAAAAATACTTGGAAGCATATAGTTGCAATTCATTAGCATAGCATGACGGCTCACAAAGTCAAATAAACAGCATCTGAGAGGTCTATGCAAGAATGAATAGATCTTCAGCCTTCTGTTTGCCAAGACATTTCTGGATTGGCAGATAGACAGCTGCCTTGTGTTGAAAACAAGTGCTAATGACTTATCCTAACATAGCCGCATAACAGTTGTAGTAAACGTAAATGGTCTCTGATTTTAGGACGTTTTTCCACAATCAAGAGACACATTTCACATGCAGTCTTGGAACTGCAGTCCCTGTTTGACCCTGGTTATTTGAGTCGTCTCAGGCTGATTCTTTGCTCACCTGGTTGTGTTTGATCTCGTCATTTGAAGTCTCGTACGAGTTCCGGAACAATGTGGATGTTCCACAGGAGGTTTGAACTGAGGGGATGATAGCGAGAGTGTGAATGTGCAGAGAATTTATTTATTTTTTTAAATAAATCAAGCATTTAACAACTATGAAAAATTCTGGAAATTGTACTTATTGACAGTGAAACAAATCCATCCTTTATAAGATACTCTGGCAAGGCTGAAGCTAGGAACTCTGAGCTCTATTTTAACCAAACGTGAGTCGGGGATAAGGCTTGATGGACCATTAACAGATTTTGCCCTTTAACACTTATGTGTGGCTGGCCAAGTGTTCAAACCCAGACAGTGTTATTTTTTTTCCTCACATATATTAAAATACAACATTACAGTATCTAACAAATCTTGATTTGTATATTTTTCTGACACATTTTTATACACAATACACTGAATTAATAATAGATCTTAGAATTTAAGCAAAATTATTGTACATATTTAACTTCACATTCTCTTGTGTAAAACTTTACATTCTGCAGCTGAAAAATAATTCCCCATGGATGTTTTCGTGAATGGTGGAGTTCATACTTTGTCATGAGAATGTTTTTTTTTTGTCCATTCAAAAGTAATTTAACATAAAAAGCTCAGAAAACAGTGGATCTCACAGTTCTATAAGTGGACATCTAGTTTTCTTGCTGTTAAGTACTTTGAATAAAACTCTGATCTTCTTCCTCCTGAAGTTAGACCTACCTGCCATTGTGTCTTTTCTGGAAGTGAGCTCTCCTTTGTTTCCATGGTAACTGGCGTTGGTTCCAGTGGAGTCGTAGTTGCTCTTCCTGTCCTTGAGGCCGATCATCTCTCTGGGTGAGGCGGGGGCACTGGCTGCAATTCAAATCATCACACAAACCCTTCTTACTGAGCATCTGGGTACACACCGGCCTGATTTCACACTTTGCAGTTTTTACTATTTTCTTTCTTTTTTTATTTAGATATTGTTCTGTCTGCCTGTTTTAATGTCGGTATTACCAACTTTGACTTGACTTTGACTGTTTTTTTCAGTTTCTGTTTATTTTGTCCAAATTTCTCTCTCTGCTTCTTACTGTCTTTGTTCATCATTTCCTGCCTGTACAAGGCTGGACATGCAGAGATGTGCATCATTATTCATCATTAGTGCTGTTTAGCATGACAGCATGAAGGATGTTTCCAACAGGTCCTGTACCAGCCAGCTCCAATCTACAAAGCCTCCCCCAAGTCAAATAAACAGGAAATCCCACAAAAGGTACCATATTTGTCCTTGAAGTGCCATCTTTCGAAAAAAAGTCAAGTTATGACAGAAAAGAGTGAAGTTACCATATGACAAACGCCACTTCTATGGAAGTAATTAGACCAGAGAAAATATTAGGGGTTATGGGTTGTTGCTATGGTCAGTGAAAGCTAGTAACGGCTTACATGTAATCTGGATTTAACATTTAAATCTATAAACAAGTTATGTCAAAAGTAATCTAAAATTAATCCAAAATCATTCAGAATATATTACCTAAAATTAGTAATCTTGATTACATTACTGACTACAATTTCAATTTCAACATATAATCTGTAATCAGTAACAGACTACAATTAGTAAGTAATCTACCCAGCACTGGCTATGGTGTTGCTATGCAGTGTTCTGTGTTATTGTTAGAAAGTTGCTACAGACCTTATGTAGCCCTGTCTGTCCCTTTTCAACACTGCACTTATTGTCTTCTGTCTTCTGGTTTGTATTTCCACAGCATGAAGGTAAGATCTGAACAGATTTATGAATGAACTCTGAAAATTATGAATTTTCCCGGTCTACTGACATTTGTTATGACATCCGCATCAAACATTACAATGTTCATGATAACTTTCATTGACTTTACACTAAGTAAATCCACTTCACCAGCCAATTACTCTTCAACAGCGATGCCATAGAAATATACAGAGCTACCGCAAAAACCGAAGTTCAAACACAAAATTCTAATGATGGCTGCACACTTGTTTGTTCGGCACATAAGGTCTATACATTCTCTAGAGCAGTGGTTCCCAACCCTGGTCCTCCACTGCTCTAGAGCATTCTGAGTGGTTGTGTTGCTACTCAGTTGTTAGAATGTTCTGAGTGGTTGCAAGGTGGGTAGCTCCACCCCCTGTGAAATCTCATTGGTCATTGTGTGGACTGACAAATTGCTTGTTTTTGGAAATGACACAGGCTGTGTTCGAAATGCCATACTATCATACTACTCTTACTATTTCTGCAGTATCCAGTATGTATGCTGTGCATAGCATGCAAATTTTCTGTATGCATGTAATACCCGGATGACCTACTATATTCGCCAGAATCTGCTAAATATAACTCAAGTACACTGAAATCAGTACAGAAGCTGTTCGGAATGGCATACTACCATACTATATTGCAGTATGCTGTGTGTATACTGTGAATAGTATGTGAATTTTCTGTATGCATGGAATGCCCGGATTACCTGCTACATTGGCTGAAATTTGATGTATGCATCTGAAGACGCTGCATGGGATACTGTTTCCCAGAACGCAATGCGCTCCATGTGACGTTTCATCTTCAAACGCGTGAGTGAACTGGAGGTGGGGAATAGTAATTATAAATGTAACACTTGTATTTGTACGTATATACATACTACAAACTATCGCTGTGTATCTAAAAACAGTATCGTTAGTAGGACATAAATTGTACTTTAATCTCTACAGCACGTTTCCGATCATCAAATGACGTCACCTTTATCTTTAT